ATACAGGCAATTGGTGATTAGCAGCTTCATCATGACAATGTGTCCACTTATGCATCACATCTCGTGCAGAGTTTTTTGGTGAAACATCAAATCACCCAGGTGACTCAGTCCCTCTATAGCCGAGATTTGGTGCCCTGCAACTTCTGGCTTTTCCCAAAAGTAAAATCACTTTTGAAAGGGAAGAGATTACAGACCATTGATGAGATTCAGGAAAATACTACGGGGCAGCTGATGGTGTTTGGGAGAACTGTGTGAGGTCCCAAGGTGCCTGCTTCAAAGAGGACTGAGGTGTCATTGTCCTATGTACAATGTTTCTTGTATCTTCTTCAATAAATATCTCTATTTTTCATAGTGTGTGGCTGGATACTTTCTGGATATATATATAAAATCTCCACACACATATATAATGAAATGGCTTTGAGCTATAAAAAAGAAAAGAAATCCTGCAATTTGGGATGACATGGATGATCCTTGAGGGCATTATACTAAGTGAAATAAGTCAGACATAGAAACATAAATACTGTATGATCTCACTTATATGGGGTGGTGCAAAAGGAGTTTTTCAGTTGTGAATGCATGAAACACAGAGTTTATTATTGTATTATTTCCCACACAAGCAACTGTAAGCTTACTTTTTCCCCATTCTATATGTGTAATATAAAAACCCAACCCATAGAAATAGAGTAGATTTGTGCTTGCCAGGGGTTTGTGGGGAGCGCAAAATGAGGAGGTGTTGGTCAAAGTAAAAGCTTCCAGTTACAGAAGGGATAAGTTCTGAGAATCTGAAACACAGCATGATGATTATAGGTAGCAATAGTGCACTGTACATTTGAGAGTTGCTAAGAGATTAGATCTTAAATGTCCTCCCAGTAACGACAGCCAAAAACTGGTAATTATTTAAGGCGAAGAATATGTGAACTAACCTTATTGTGGTAATCACTTCACAATATATGCATATCAAATCATCTCACTGTACACCTTAAACTCACACAATGTTATACCTCAGTTGTATCCCAATAAAGCTGGGAGAAATCAATTCCTTATTTTCATAAAAAATGAAGTTGTTACAACATTGTGGATAGTGGCAACAGAGGTTTATTTCTTTTAATATTTTCAAACTCCCACCTATAGCTTGCCTCAGCAACTAGAAAACAAAGCCCCAAACCCATGGGGAACATTTACCATGAACCCTGGGGCAAGATTCTACAAGAACCTAAAACACAAGTGAGTGGGAACAAGCAACTGAGAGCATCAAGAACTGCGTGGCCATGGCTGTGGATAGGAAGCAGAGGGAAGCTGCTTCCTGAACTAGAGCCCACCCGTAATGACCAGAACAAGCAGAGGACCAGAGTCAGGAAAGCAGCTAAGACAGAGGGGTTTTGCTTGCCCCAGTAACAGCTGGGTGCTGGGGGCCCAAGTGAGATGTGAAGGGGCGGAAGCTGTAGGTGTTCTATGCACTCAAAACAACCCCCACATAGGTTCTTTACAGGCAGGGCCCCACAGTGAGGAGGAACTGCTGATAGGGTCGTCAAAATTGAGCAGAACCGGGACAGAAGGGCACTCCAGGTAAAAATGGGGGACAGACACACAGCCGGGAAGTGTCCCAAAACAAGCCCTGGTATTTTCTTCACCACAAGGAATTTCTCTGCCGTCCTCAGACCCTCGTTCTCCCGCTCTTCTACTGAAGCTTATTTGTTGATATTTCATCTCTTGAATAATCTTCCTTGTGTTTATTGTTTTCCTTGTTTTTTTAAGGGCTTTATTTATTTATCTTTAGAGGGGAAGGGAAAGAGAGAGGAAGAGAAATATCAATGTCTGGTTGCCTCTCGTGTGTCCCCTGCTGGGAACTGGCCTGCAACCCAGGCACGTGTCCTGACTGGGAATCAAACCTCGATCCTCTGGTTCACAGGCCCATGTTCAATCTACTGAGCTACACCAGCCAGGGCTATTGTTTTCCTTATAACTAGCTTTTTTCCCCTGTACATTTTGGGATAATTTATTTACTTAATCTTCTAAATCAAAGGCTATATTCTACTCTTCACTAATGATGCTACCTTTTACTATTAAAATTTGGCAAAAAGCCATTGTCTTTCCAAAAAAGTCTTTTTTAGGTTACCTGCTTTGACTGTTGATTATTCTACTGTATCTAGAGGTTGTCGGCTCATTATTTTTCATTGAAGGTCTAGATTAGTCATATCACCAGCTGCCATTTATTTCAGAACTAGATGAGATCTTATGTTATTCAGTTTTTATGTAAGGCTATTAATATGAGGATAATTTGAGGATAGCTTGGTTGGGATATCACAAGGAGGGTCATGTGACTGGGAATTTGAAAGACAAGCCCCCTTCACCAAGGTGGGCCAGACCATCCTCACTGGGCTTTAGGATCACTGCCCACACACGCACATGCACGCACACGCACACGCACGCACACACACAGGACAGTGGAAGAACAGAGAAACAGTCTCCGCAAACACACTGAAAATCAAACGATAACAGAACAATTCTAATATCTGTACTCATTGCACAGACACGATTTCTTTGAAAGGTTTACCTAAGTCACATGTTTCACCTTTTAGAAATGAGATACTAACAACATCTTATCCACCCCATCCTGCTGGGCTAAGTTCCCAGAATAAATGAGGATACAGTAGACTTGATGTGAGAAAACTATAACCTAGTGTATTTGATGCTGAGGCCCATCCAGTGTGGAACTCAAAGACGCCATTGTGCTACTCGTCTTTGTAAAGGAAGCTGCCAGGTTTCTCTCAGCACAGAGTGGGAGCGACTCAGAGCTCTCTCCACAATGCTGCTGGTCTTGCTTCTAGTGACCTTTGTGACCCTGAGCTCAGCTCAGAGCACAAATAAAGGTAAAGTGGGGGTGGAGGGCAGTTGCTGTGACTGCACTTGGGACTTGGAAGGTCACACTGCAGGGAGAACGAGGCTAGAAAGGGAAGGGACATGAGGGGAAAGATGAGGCTACAGAGCTCTTAAGGATAAGAACAAGGACTTTGAGAAACACTGCCCGTGCGCTGCCTTTTTCCCAATGATTACGCATCTAAAAATGCGCTGGTGGTGAGTAAGGAGAGCATTCTCTCCCTCTGACCCTCCCCTCTCCTCCTCACCAGGCCCAGCCGCTTCCCGTCTCAGGTTTCCACCATTCTTTGCTCAGCCTTGCCTCGCCCCAGGCCTCTCATGTCCAGGGTCCCTGCTAAATGACACCTTAATCTGATGCTGCTAAATGTTATCCAGTGTTTTCAATATCTACTTTTAAATTAATATACGTTCACGTTTTTAAAAACCTAACAGAACAGAAAGTTATGAAGCTAAATCTTAGAAGCATATCTCATCCGACCTTCCCACTTCTTTCTGCCAAAGCCGTCACTTAACTCTTTTGAAACTACTCTTAAAATTTACACCAATAAGCACATAAAATCCTCTTTTCCACAAATGATATCATACCTTATATGCAAATCTATATGTCGATTATTTCAAATAGCATATTTTTAGAACACATCCATATCGGTTCATAGAGATAGATTGACCTTTGGATCTATTTGGTCTGTGTTCCAATTTCATCTCACAGTTGTACACTACTCCAATATGTGCCTGGGTCGATTTCTTTAGCCAACTCCCTGCCAGTGGACATTTAAGATGGTTTCGGCTTTTCAGTGTTACAGAGTATGTTGCAGTTACCATCTTTGTAAATAAATCTTGGAACATTTTCAGTACTAACCAAAAGATAAACAACTTAAGAGTAATTTCTTTATTCACCTTGTAAGCAACGATGTAGAATACATTATCTGTTAGGTAACAGAAGCAATAAAGAAAAAGTATTTGGGGAGAAGAAGAAAGAGGGAGAAAAGATGGTCTGTCACCTATTTCAGTTCGGTAAAATAAAATTTAAATTAAAGTAAAATAAATTTAATTTTTAAAAATTTTTTTATTCTTGCTGTTTTAACTGGATATCTTTTGTTCACTTATGTTTCAAATTATTGCGTTGATTCTTGGCATCATCCACTGCCCTGTTTATTCCCTGTAAATTGTTCTTTATTTTAATTAGTGTTGCCTTCATTTCTGCTAGGATCGTTTTTATGCTGTTGAAGTACCCTCTGAGTTCCTTGAGCATCTTTAGAACCAGTGTTTTGAACTCTGCACCAGAGAGATTGCTTATCTCTATTTTATTTAGTTGTTTTTCTGGAGTTTTGTTCTGTTCTTTCATTTGGGACGTATTTCTTTGTCTCCTCATTTTGGCAGCTGCTCTGACTCTGTACCCTGGTGGCCTAATGTAGTAGGTGTCCTGAAGGGCCCGGTGGCACAGCAGTGTTACTCCATGTGCACCCTCCAGGTGGGTTGCGTAGTTGAGTCTTGTAGTTGAGTCCTGATTGCTGTCAGCAGGTCAATGGGAGAGATATACAGACCAGACAGCTAATAGGACTGGCTGTGACCTCTTGCCACCAACCACCGCGCTCCATGGCTTGGAGAGGTGGTTGGGTGGGTGTACTCTGACGTGGTCTGTAACTGTCCACTGGGTACGCAGGTCCTGAGGCTTCCCAGATAGTACAGACCAGAGTCAGCCACTGCCTGTGTTCTATCTGGGGCCACTTAGCATAAACTGTAAAGTGATCTCTGAAGTCTTAGGGTTTTTTTTTAAGTAAAGACCTGCCGATGTGCTTTGTATACTGGTAGACATTTAATATTAAAGTGTGATTCAGGACAGTTTGAAATGCAGTCTTCTTAAACTACTACCAGATCGGGAATATGTTACTATAATGAAGTGTTGCCAACATAATGTCAAAGTTTGTACATAGACCAAATTAAAGAATCTATAATATGAAAACAGAAAAAAATGAATTTAAAACAGATTCAATAGCTGGCTGTTTCTTAAACTAAAAACAATAAGAAACAAACTTCTTATTCTAATTGAGAAAAAACAGAAAACAATGTGAACTTCAGTAATGAGAAGGTTAAGTTAATCTCGGGTGTTTAGATTTTTTTTCCACTGTGTAACCCACTTCAATGCCTTCAACCAATGAGTAGAGGCCAGGCAATGGTTCAAGACCACAGTTTGCTCTAGCATGGGGCACTGAGAGACCCAGAGGGACGGGCCTGCCATAATAGATTTTTTTTTAAACTAGGGTAACATGTAAAACTTTATTCTGATATAAAAATAAAATTGACATTGTATACTAGCAATTACCAAATTTGACTCAAAATGCTTTGGAAAAGTTGAATAGAAAAAAATATAAAAGAAATATAGGTATGTTGTTTTCATTTCAACTTCTCTGATGGTGTATGATGTTGAGCATCTTTTCACATGCTTATGTATCATTTTTTTGATGAGATGTCTGTGAAGGTCTTTGGCCCATTTTTAAAAATTGGGTTGTTTATTTTCTTCTAATTATTGAGTTTTAAGAATTCTTTGAATAGTTTGGATAACAGTCTTTTATCAGCTGTGCCTTTGGCAAGTATTTTCTCCCAGTATGTAATGGTTCTTCTAGTTCTCTTGACATTAACTTTAAAGTGTAAAGGTTTTAATTTTAAGGAAGTCCTGCTTATAAGTTATTTCTACCGATTGCAAGGACAATTTTTTCTTCTTCCCTGCTAGGTGCCTTGGTTGGGCTAATAATTAAATTGACATAAGACAGATTAACAAGAGTAAAACAAAGTTAATTATGTTGTGGCAGGCCTACAGAGACATGAGACTAAAAGGCAGGCAGGCCATTGGGGTTGATGTGCGTTCTGAGCTAAGGAGAAGGGGACAGGGATCTGGGGCTTCAAAGGGGAGGAAGATGGTCCACAGGAAGGTGAGAAGTATGAATGTTTAGTAAACAAATGTTTGCCATGCAGGTAAGTATGATATAAAAATTATCTCGGGATGGGTCTGCTTCCTCCTAGCAATCCCTGCGGTAAGGTATCCACATCCAGGATCTGAAGAATCATTGGTAGTTACTGTTTTCTAAAGAGGTGGTTTTGCCTTTTGTTTATAGATCACTGATGTCAACACTGCTCTGCATCTAGGGTACCTGTTAATTACACGTGCATTTCCTTCCTTACAAAACTTTTGTGTTTTTCCTGGAGTTAATAATTACCTTTTCTTCGTTTGTTTAGTTTTCTGTAAACATCTAAGGCTTACTGCAACCTCCAACAGATCTGTAAAGTTCTTCCCAGTATAACTTTCCTCACCCTCTCAAATCCTCTGCTTCTGTGCTGAAAATTTTCTTTTCTCCCTCTTCAGTAGGATGATGCACATCTCGAGTTAATACCTTCCTCTAACTTAGTTTTCTTCCTTGTCTGGTAACACAGCCTACCATATCTTCTTGCTAATGAGTGCAAAATAATTTGAGATCTTTCATGTCTGAGAATGACTGTCATCTAGGCTCATGCTCAACTGATAATCTCCCTAGATATTAGATTCTAGGTTGGAAATTGTTTTTTGCTCAGAATTTTTACAATATTATTCCTCTGTTTTCTGATTTCTACTGCTGTTCCACTGTCATTCTGATTCTCAATTCTTTGCATATGACTATTTTTCTTGATAAAATTTTTAGGATCACTTTAATTCCTACAATTTAATTAGATATAAATTAATGTGGACTTTTCCTTTCAATTTATTGTACCAGGTACTCAGGATTCCAAGGGAGGCCCCTTGGCCAAGGCCTGCACTTTAGGAGCCCCACACAAAAACACCAAAACCAAAGGCATTGGATTTTTTTCCTTTTGGTCTCATTAGAAAATATTTTTAAAGTTCAACAAATAAAATAAGCAGGAATTATGAGAAAGGAGCTCAGGCTGAACTGGGGCACTTCAGGCCTAAGAATTAAGAATGTGCAAAGAATAAATGCACTGCTTCTGCCTAGGGCACCAGAGGAAAAAAATGACTACTTTTATATAAACCCAGTCGCCTCCAATCAACCAAAAGCATGTCTAGGCAAACAAGTTCTTGCACCCGCCGCATAACTGAGTTTCCTATGCTCAGTGGTGTAGTCTGGGGAGGTGCTTAGAAGTTTCTGGAAATCCTAAATCACAACTGAGGCATGGGGGAGGAAAACTCACCAAGCAGATTTGCACAGGAAACTGACCAGGTCAGTCCTGGGTCCAGACCAGCTTTTAACCTGCTATTATTCCAGCAGACATCCTGTCCCTGCCTGCCTCTCAGCTTGGAGGGTGAGGGTTAGTACAAGGCAACATAGCTCCTTTAGTCTCTGGGCTTGGCCAAAAGGAGGCTCTCCAAGGAACAGGCTGAAGGACTTGGAAACATCTGAACCTCAGTTCTAGCTCAGTTATCACCTGCAGGTATTTAGAGATACGGTACAATGACCTCCTTTTGTAGTTCTACACTAGGCTCTGCAAATGTGGGCCTGTGGATAATTGTTGGACACTCTTGCATTGGGGAATCATTCTTTTTTTTTAAGATTGTATTTATTTATTTTTTTCTAGAGAGCGGGGAAGGGAGGGAGAAAGAGAGAGAGAAAGAAACATCAATGTGTGGTTGCCTCTCACATGGCCCCCACTGGGGACCTCCCACAACCCAGGCATGTGCCCTGACTGGGATTCGAACTGGTGACCCTTTGGTTCGCAGCTGTGCTCAATCCACTGAGCTACACCAGCCAGAGCTGGAGAATAATTCTTAAGTTCTGAGAAATGTTTTGTAGTCTTTCACTGATAATTTGTTTCCTTTGAAATTTGTGTTAGTTAATTTTTTTCTTTTTTTTTCTCTTTGCCTTTTTGTTCTATTTTATGGAGGAATTCCTAACTTTGACTTCTATTCTACTTAATAATAGCCAATATTTCTTTTTATTTTCTGGTTGATAATTAATAGGGTCCTATTCTTATTTCAAGGATGGAACATCCCTCCAAATATATTAATTAGAATGTCTTAAAGATTTCTTCTGCTCCTCATATTGACTACCTTTTCTCTGAATTTCCTTTTTACTATTTCTTCAGCCTTTTTTGAGGAAGATTTTCAACTGGTGATGCTTTGCTCTCTGTTAATATGGAAGAGGATGATGGTAAGGCAATCAAACAACATTACATGCATTGCAAGAGATTTGTAGAATCACAGGAAGATTGAGTGGCCCGATAAATATTTTGTTGAAGATGTCTCTAAATGCTGTCTCCGAGTCTTACATCTTCCTACCTCCTGCCTGACAAGTATAATCGTCACTGCTGACACTTTGGAGCTGGCCAGGATAGAGGTTGGGGACCTCTCCATTTGTTTTATAGGCTTTCATTTCATTGCCCTGTTCCTTTTATTTATTTTTTTATTTAATCTTTATTGTATTTTTCCATTGCTATTTAGTCCCATTACACTCACCTCCCCCCAGCAAGTACCACCCTGTTGTCTATGTCCATGAGTCTTTTTTCTCCATCCTTCCACCCCCTAACCTCCCCTCCTTAGCTGTCATCTTACTCTCTACCTATGAGCTTGTTTCTGCTTTGCTTGTTAGTTCAGTTTGTTCATTAGATTCCACATATGAGTGATATCATATGATATTTGTCTTTCTCTGATTGGCTTATTTCACTTAACATAATGTTCTCCATATCCATCCTTACTATCACAAAGGGTGAAATGTTCTTCTTTTTATGGCCAAGTAGTATTCCATTGTGTAAATGTCCCATAGTCATTTTATCCACTCATCAACTGATGGACCCTTGGGCTGCTTCCATATCTTAGCATTTGTAAATAGTGGTGTTTATGTTCTTTCAAATTAGTGTTTTGGCTTCCTTCAGATATATTCCCAGAAGTGGTATTGCTGGGTCAAAAGGCAGATCCATTTTTCATTTTTCTGAGGTATCTCTACACTGCTTTCCACAGTGGCTGCACCACCAACAATGCCAAAGGGTCCCCTTTTCTCCACATCCTCACCAACACTTGTTTGTTGATTTATTGATGATAGACATTCTGACAGGTGTAAGATGCTATCTCATTGTGGTTTTAATTTTTATTTCTCTGATGATTAGTGACATTGAGCATCATTTCATTTGTCTACTGACCATCTGTGTATCCTCCTTGGAAAAAGTGTCTGTTCGTTCGGGTCCTTTGCTTATTTTTTAACTGGGTTGTTTGGTTTTTTGGTGTTGAGTTTTATAAGTACTTTATAAATTTTGGATATTAATCCCTTATCAAATGTATCAGCAAATATGTTCTCTCATTCTGTGGGTTATCTTTTTATGTTGTTGATGATTTACTTTACTGTGCAAAAGCTTTTTAGTTTGATTTATATGGGACCAGAAAATGTCCCACATAGCAATTGTGAGAAAGAAAAACAAAGTTGGAGGGATCGCACTATTTAATATCAAACTATACTATAAGGCCATAGTAATCAAAACAACATGGTACTGGAATAAAACAGACATATAGATCAGTAGAACAAAATAGAGAGCCCCAAAATAAATAATTTTATAGTAAATTAATATTCAATGGAGGAAGCAAACACATACAATGGGCTAAAGATAGTATATTTGATAAATGGAATTGGGAAAATTGGACAGATACATGGAGAAAAATGAAACTAAACCACCTTCTTACACCATACACAAGAATAAATTCAAAATGGATCAAAAATTTATGGTTACACCTTAAACCATAAAAATCCTAGAAGACAACACAGATAGCAAAATATTGGGCATTGCTCCTAGCAATCTTTTATTAGATATATCTCTCCACACAAGAGAAACAAAACAAAAAATAAACAAATGGGACTACATTTTGTTTTTTTTAGAACAGCATTTCTCTTGTATCCTCTTCAGTTACAGTTGCCCCGATGTCCAGCACCTCTCTGGTTCAGCTTTCTAGAACATAAAATTGCTCTATCTTGCTGAAATAATGGAGGATATAAACCTAACTGTTTTGTGTTACCTGTCTCACCACCGTCATTACTTCTCCTCCAATCTAATCATCACAGCACCTGATGTCTATAATCCTTGAGCCCTGCCAAGGATTTGTAAGATCATCTGGCATACTTCTATTTGGTATCACTCACCCCAAATCAGACTTCCACAGGTACTTGAGTATTTTATCCTTTCTGTTACATTATTAACCACTCTGTCTGTTTTCAGTCTTCGATGCATTATGGCTAGTATTTGTCCTATAAGCTTTATCAAACATGATGTTTGCATTTCTGTTTCTTGCTATTTTTATTTGGGGGTGGTCTTTAAGGAGAAAGGATAAAATGGTTTTACAACAAAACTCTGTCACTCTCAGTTATGTTCTTGGAAACAACTTTAGCATAAAACATACTCTTCCTTTGATACTGTATGTACCTCTTTTATATTCTAACTCTTGGGTTGTTCCTCAATCCTTATTTTATTTATAAAGTATTCACTGGTTTTTTTCTTTATGCCAGTTATTTTATGAAGAGTTTAGGGTGTTATGATTAATGCAAACTCACAGTTGCCACCATCTAGGAGTTAAAGCCTTGTGTGTTTTTTTTGCAGAGGTACCATCCTCCATTTAGCCATGAAATTATATAAAATTCTGCAGATTTGTTTTAAATTCTTGTCTCTTCTCACTATCTACTATCCTTAAAAAACTCATTCTGGCCCTGGCGGGTGTGGCTCAGTGGTTGAGTGCCATCCTGTGAATTGAAGGGTCACTGGTTCGACTCCCAGTCAAGGGTGCATACCTGGGTTTTGGGCCAGGACCCCAGTGTGGGGTGTGCAAGGAGCAACCACTCATTGATGTTTCTCTCCCTCTTTTTCTCTTTTCCTTCTCCTCTCTAAAAAGTAAAATCTTTTTAAAAAACTCATTCTAAAAAATGTCACTTTGTGAGGTGATGCATGTGTCAATTAACTTGATTGTGGTAATCATTTCATAACATATATGTATATCAGATCACCACATTGCACGTTTTAATTATGTAGTTTTGTTTACTATAGCTCAATACAACTTCAATTATCATCTATGTACCAATAATACAAAATTCTATCTCTTGCCAAAACCTCTACTGAGCTTTACATCTGCTTGACATCTTCATTTGAATATTTTAAAGGCATCACTCAATATTCCCCAAATAAATTAATCTGGTAGCACTAACTTTGTAGACCACCATTCAACCATGAGTATAATACAAAATCTATAGCTTTGGCTCTGTCTCATTTGACATTAAAAAAATCCATCACCAACTTTCGTCCCCTTTTCTAATTTTCTAAATTTTTCTCCACTTTATCCACTGTTCTCTATCTCCATTGCCATGCTCCCCTGCATACCACAATCTCCCACCTGGTGACCTGGAACCATTCTGCCTTTCCCTCCAAATCCTCCTCCGGGCTGCGTCTGCGGTCAGAGTAAGGTTTTTGAACCATACTTGTGATGATATAATATCTTCTGCCAGCCTCAGCTTTAAAACTCCCAAGAGCGCCTACCATTGAGGCTAAAATTCTGCAGGTGGCCATCAAGGCTGCCATGACCTGGTCCCCGCTCCCTCTCCAGACGCATCTCAGATCTCACTCTCCCCTTTGTTTCCTGCTGCAGAACTGCTGCTCCTGTCTGTCCTTCCTGCTCCATCCCTCCAGAGCGTGTAGTCCCTTCCACGCTCCAGCATGTTCTCAACTTTCCACCTTCTCTTTGCCTACTTAACGCCCACCCAGATCCCTTTGTCATAAACTTGCATGGAATCATGTTCATGTCCTTCCAAATTCTTGTAATTACACATTCATTAATGTATTTATTTGATTTATAGTCTTATCTTCTTTAGATCGACACTAACACGGTACTCACAAGCCACATTGCAGTTGTCTAAATCTAAATTAATTAAAATTAAGTAAAATTTACAATTATGTTTTAGTCACACTAAGCCAAGTTTTCTATATTGGAAAAAAATGCCTTTCTGTAATAATCAAAAAATTGATTTATATGAAAAAGGATTTGTATAAGTTTTATGCTTTTAACCCAAGTTGTCAGATAATGTGACAGGATTATTTATGAGATAAGTGCATAATGTATGGAAAATTATCTGTTGTGGGATATGGCAATAAAGAGCAACAAATGCAAACTTCTTCATTTATTCTTTTATTCAGAGAGGTGGTTTTGTTCTTTATCCCTCATGACAACCTTCTAAAACTGAATTATCCAAAACATAGATGATTCACAAGTAACTGCTCTTTTCACAAGTAGTGAAAGCAGAAGGGCCATCTAAAAGGAATGATAATGGTGAATCTATGATAATATATTATCTGATGGCTTGTGAACATTAATGATATCTAAGTCTTATTCTTCATTTAAATGCCAATAATTCTGCACCTTGATATACTCAAGACTCAGTCTGTTCTCTACCTATACAATGAGGAGTGGTATTTCCAAGTAATCTTCCCTAAGGTGTTTCAATATGGGAAATAAAGACCAGTTTCTTCTAAAAAATCACCTGCTTCTTCTTTATTTGTATCTAAAATAAAGCAGGTGTCACTTCCAGAAAGATGGAGTATACACACTTTTTCCTATTCTTTCCACTACATACAACTAAGAGCCCCAGACATAAGACTGTGAAAGTTGGAGAAAATAAAACAGTTGAGATAGGAAGGGACCTAGGGATCCAGAAATGACCTGATGGCAAGTTCTCTAGATTTTTTTTTTCTTTTTGTTTATGGTGGGGTTGGGGTAGTTTATAAACCTCTGACTTACAGCTGAAACATGCAGCAACTCAGAAATACTAATAGACCCAAATGAAAAAAAGCCCCAGCAAAAGCCTGTTCTCTCTTGCCAAATGATCCAGAAAGAACCTAGCAAGACAGAAAACATTTAGACAATAGTCACTCTATCAAACACCACAGAAAAAACTATGACCCAAGTGGGGAAGTAAGATTGCCACATTTGCCAGGCTGTAGGGATCAAGGTGACCTAATTTTCTGCCGGAGCAGTGCCAGAGAGGGTTAGGTGGGAACTGGGACTTTCATCCTCACCTAGCAGCTTGAGCCTCCCTAACCCACAGCATCAGTGGTCGCCTGAAGAGGAGTCTGTACCTCACCCCACATCAGTCAATGAAGAAGCACTCTCCTTCCTACACTAGGGTGATACCAAGAGAGACCCCATGAGAAGCAATAACAAGGCACTCTTACCCAACCCAAAAAGTGCGGGATCAGAAGAGGTCTGGTGGGGTGCCAGCATTCCATTCCTCACCCAGCAACAATGAGGAACCCCTCCCTATTGAGGTGGAGATGTGCATTTCTGCCCCACCCAGCAGTATTGCTGTGCCCCCCCCCTTTCTCCTGCTGGAGTGGCGTCAGAGGAAGCCAGCTAAGACAGAAGATCTACATAAAATTCAGCGTCTCATGATACAACAAAAATATCCTCGTTCAAGTGAAAATATTCACTTGTCAAACCAAGAGTCAGGAAAACCTCAACTTGAATGAAAAGGATAATCAGTAGATGTCAGAATGAAAATAACAGGGATGTTAGAATTATCTGCAAAGATTTTAAAGCAGTCATCATAAAAATGCTTCCATGAGCAATTATAAGCATGCTTAAAACAAATGAAAAAAAAATGAAAATCTCAGCAAGAAAAAGTGTCAGCAAAAATTGAAATGTATAAAATAAAACAAAAGAAAAATTTACAACCGAAATTATAGTAATCAAACTTTGAAAACTTAATGGATGGACTCAACAGCAAATGGAAAAAGACCGATGAACTTGAAGACAGAAAAATAGAAATCACCCAATCCAAACAATACAGAGAGAAAATGGGCGAGGGGGGAGCCAACAGAGCTCAGGGTCCCATGAGACCCTGACAAAGGCCTAATATGTGTGTGGTCTGAGGAGACAAGAAACAGGACAGTCCTCAGAAACCACTCAAAGAAATATTGACTGAACATGTCCCCACCCTGGTAAAAAAAAAATAAATGAGTGCATAAGCCTTAAGACTTAAAAAGACAAGCAAAGTCCAATGAAAATAAACCCAAAGAAATTCACACAAGACACATAACAACTAAATACCTGATAATAAAGACAGAGGAAAGGACTGGAAAACACTGAGAGAAACAGCATATCTCCAGAGGGAAACAATACAGGTGACAAGAGAAAGCATCAAACGTGAAAGACAGCAGGGAGTGGTACAATCTTTGTTAAGAAGTAAAAGAAAAGCATTCTCAATTCTGATTTTTATGTAGAAAAAGTTTATCTCACCTACTAATTCCCAGAAACTGTGAATATGTTAAATTACACAGCAAAGGGGAATTAAACTTGCCAATCAATGGAGCTGACCTTGAAGCAGGGGCGTCCAACCTTTCGGCATCTCTGGGCCACACTGGAAGAAGAGTTGTCTTGGGCCACACATTAAATACATTGCAACACGTAATCACAAAAACAAAAAAATCTCATAATGTTTTAAATAAATTTACGATTTGGTGTTGGGCTGCACCCACAGCCGTCCCAGGCTGCACGCAGCCCGCAGGCCACAGGCTGGACGCCCGATAGAAATCATCCTGGATCACCCGGGCTCTGGCCAAATGTCCTTACATGTGGAAGAGGGAGGTAGTAGCGTCCGTGTCCGTGGCTCTGGGATATGATGTGAGAATCGACCGGCCACTGCTGGCTTTGAAGATGAAAGAAAGCCACGGAAAGAGGGACAGAAAGTGGATTCTTCCAGAGAGACTACCACGAAGAAACCCAGCCCTGCAGACACAAGGTTTTTAACCCAGTGAGATGCCTTTCAGTCTTCTGAGCTACAGAAGTCTAAAAATAACAGGTCTGTGTTGTCTGAAGCTCCTAAATTTGTGGAAAACTGTTACTGCAGGCCTAGAAAAACTAATATACTTTCCGTGGTCTCATTTCATGCTTTCCTGTGACCATGAAGCATTGGAGGGAGCCTGAGCACAGAGTCTCCATCAGAGAGGAATAACAGGATTACAGGTACTGACACAAGGCAACCAAGTAGTCTGTGGTCTCGTGAAATAAAAACCCATCTCAAAACTCATTTCAAATAAGCATTTATTGATCCTGTGTTCAATGGGACATGGTTAGGAAACATGCACCCTCTGTCTGTGGACGGTTCTCGCCACTGCGTGCGTCCTCGGCTGTGTCTACTCTATGGCTCGCTAGTATTTCCATTTATTCAAACGCCTATGTAATGGAATAGTAGGCTTCTGCAGAAGCTCAGAATCTTCTTAGAAAGCTGTGGTTAACAGAGTGAAGATCACAGTCGATGGAGAATCTGCTTCATTTTCTAAAATAAAAAAGTAAAACAGGAAACAGGCATTACCAACAGAAAGAAGAGAACCTGGTGCTCCGAAGATTAGGCTCACCTTTCCCACTTCCCTCTGTGACCTTGGGCACGTGACTATAAGGTCTAATTGCTTGTTCTCCCTCTCTCTCCTTTTGCCTTAAGTGAGATATTTCTACACAGTCTAGTTATCCATTTGACTGCACAAAGAAACCATGTTAGTGAATCCAAAAAAACCAAGAGCGAGGTTAAGTATCAAAACTGACACCTCCTCATTCAGAGCTCCTAGGAATTACAGTTTATAACTGAATTATGTTCTGTGCCTAGGGAAATCTGATGCCTTTTCTGCAGGCTCTCTCCCTTTAAAAGATTCCATGGGTTGGACTGGAATCCACATTTTAGAAAGATGGGAAGAAGGAAATCCCAGAAAAATCGAGGAAGAGAAATTGTGTATACTATGGCTATTTGATTACTAAAACCCCAGACAATTAGATTGGGAAGCTAAACATCAGAGAGACAAGAGGTTGTCTTTAACCTTCAATATTAGATTTTATAGCTGGTCTCAGCATCCTGGAAGGCTTTTAAGTTTGGAATTCTTACCCAGTGGCCCAAAACCTGCATTGAAAATGGTGTCAAGTCCTTAATAAGATATCATGGTCAGGAGAGAAGACACTTACAAGTAAGCTTTGGGATGAACTCATCACCCACTCTGGAGGTGTTGGGCTCCTCTGCAATTAAGAAAAGAAATGGTTTTTTATTCATTTGCAGTAAGGACCATTCACAGTGGGTCTTAGCATTCAGCTAATAGCCTCAAGCAGCCCTAGTAAAGGAGGACCCTACCAAGTCTGTGGCACCAACACCGCCCTTCTCCCACCCTCCTCGCTTCTGCCAGGCCTGAAGTCCTGCCTGTGGGATACAACGCAGACACACTCCAGGGGCATTTGGGGAAAGGGCTGGTCTCCACTCACACCTGGCAGTCCCCGAGAGGAACACATGGTCATACCTTCGTGCAACAGTCCCCCAAAGTGGACACAGCTAAGCTAGCATATGCCTGCCAGGAGGGGTGTGGCTGTGGGCAGGGGACCCCCACCCCCACCAGAGCCCCACTTGTTGACACTGTCCTTGCAAACCTGGAAGAAAAAAAATCCCCCCTTAAAGATCAAGAATAGGAAAAAAAATTCAAAGATCTTTGTTCTTACCTAACTCTCCAGTCACAGGCTCTTCCAAATTATCACCAGTGCCACTTGCTAGAAATAAGGACATCATTTTCTTAATTTCAAAGGTCAAAACCTCCGTGAATTTTCTCTTCCTATTAAACCCCAAAGCTTCTCAATCTAAGTGTATTATCAGATCACACATTGTATATTGTATACCTTAAACATATACAATGTTATATGTCCATTATACCTCAGTAAAACTGGAAAAAATAAACAAATGCATTACAATAAAGAACAAACAAAAACACTTCTCAGTTCATTGGTAATTGCCACGGCCAGAAATCACCTCTGGATGAACAGGCTGTGGAGTCCAGTACTTTTAATTAGCTGCTTTATTTAGAGCTGGGGACCAGCTCTTTTAATTAGCAGAAATGACAGGATGGCTCTGGACCATGAGGCTGCATCTCGCTCTTATAGTCAAAGGTGAGAATTGTCCTAGTGCTGCAAGGGATGGGGGTAAGGATGGGAGGGTTAGGGTGAGACCATTAGCTTATATTAACTTATTAATCAGCAACTACAGGGTGGGCAGTTGGGGTACAATACTGAGACAGAGCTTCATTCCACAAATGAGGTCCATTCTGTGAGGAAGCTGAAGGTCATGGAAAAGAATTTGAAGCCAGAGAACCAAGTCTTCTTTTAATAGGCTCCACAGCCACCACTTAAATACAATTTCTAGATTCCTGCAACTACTACCCACATTTCCCCAATACATTTAGGACATTCCACAGCACTGGAATGCAGTAAATATCAACAAATGTCAGCTATTATTTGTAGATGTAAGAATCAGACTGTTTCAAATTTGTTTTTGCAGGTAAGGCCCAGGGCACATTCTTAGCAAAAATAAAGGCACCCCCGCCATTTCTTGGGTTTTGTTGATTGTGACAGAGGCATTGAAATCTTGTGACTCGAAAGACACTAAGGACAAAGGCCTGACAGGGAGATGGGCCAAGACAGGACCCCAGCTTCATTCATGAAGCTTTTAAACCCCTTTTCCTTCTGTTCAGCCTAAATTCAAGTAAGATTCACGCTAACATAATCTTCATTCATAAAGTGCCCTGTGTAAATTGAATTGTAATCAACTGGAAAAGAAAAGGAAACTGCTAACCCCCTTCTTGCCACCACAGCCCGCAACCCCTTGGAGGCACAGGAAGCTCATCCTCTTTAGAGAAGCCGGCTGGGATGGTCCTGGAAACCCAGGCAGGCCAGGCACCTGGCTGGAAATGATTGGAATTCAAATGGCTCTATCACCTGACACTCAGAAAATGCTTCAGTTCTCCTCAAGTTTCCAAGAACTTTTGGCAAAGTTTAGTTCACCTCACAGACCAAAGCAACAAAGTATCTCCAAATGTGTGAGTTATCAGGGGACATTCCTATGCAAGGAGCTATAAATAAGGATATGGAGGCAGGGAGAAATTTCTGCATTTTTGAAGACACGAATTTTTACCTGTGGCCCCGTTGGTGGTTTCTTCCAGAAAGCTGGTGATGTTTGATTCCACATCAGTAAACAATTCTAAGAAAACAAAACGGGAAGTGGGCGTGGTCACATCTTATGCTGGGAATCCAGTACACTGAGAGAAAACAGCCTTTGCCCAGACATGCAAAAGATGGGAGCCCACCAACTTTTGCCCAGGGATCCTCTGAAGTCAGAAGCCTTACTTACTCAAAACCCGTGTAGTCTCCAAATCAACATCAGTGATCCACTGTACAGCACCAAGGGGGAGAAGGTTAATGGTCACCTCTACAGAAGTGGAGTTAAGGTCATTGGGTGGCACTGCAGAACCATCGAGGTGAAGGCTAGTGTTCAACTCAAGAGCATCAGCGGGATCACGGTTAGCAGCTGGCACTTCAGCTCCAGTGAAGGGAAGGCCAGTGTTCAACTTGAGAGTATCAGTGGAGTCAAGGAAAGTGGGTGACAATACAGTACGAGTGCGGCCAAGGTCAAGGATCAACTCTACAACTTCAGTGGGTTTGAAGTCAGTGGTTGACTCTGGATCAGCAATTGGCTTTAGTTCAGCCTCTAACTTTGAGTCACTGAAAATGTCTGCATCATCGGTGATATCTAGGGGGGAAAAAAAGCAGCTCAAATACTAGAAAGCTAGAGTATCTCCACTACCTCCATGTCCTTCCCATTCCCAGTGAGATCTTCTCTGAGGAAAGCACAGCCATAAGTTCATATACTGCATCAAATGTGGTCTCACCACAAGTCTCTCTTTTACCAACTGCTAGAAAGTGCAGAATACTGCCACCAGGAGAATGTTGGGTGTCCCCTATGTCACCCTCCCTGAAGATTCAGTTTAGGAAGAAACATTTGATATTGTGTCTCTAAATGTAAATTAGGCAGACCGGAACAGAATAAACATTCCAAAGACTCTTCCCATATAATCCTTCCAAGATTTCTGAAAACTTAAAACAAAAACAAAGAGGAGCAAGGAGCAAGAATCAAGGAAAATAGCTATTCCCAAGGCGCCTGTCAAGAATGTAACAGAGGGCCGAGGAGGTTGAAGAGATGAAAGGGGGACCCATGGTGGTGGACAGGCTTGACTGGGGTGGTAAATACACAGATGGTGTATTACAGAATAGTGTGCCCGAAACCTATGTCATTTTATTAAGTGTTGTCACCCTAATAAATTCACTTTAAAAAAAAGAATGGAATGGACTCTCTAACAGGCTCCTCCTATCGTTTGCTCATTAACTATCCAGGATTTCATCTCCCACAGTGTCCCATCAATTGCCCGGTCCGGACAGTTGGGTGCTTGCTGACCATATAAGCACCTAACCGTGCAGGCCTGACGAGGGTACAGCCGGGGGCTCCTTGGGCAACAGTGGAAGATACGGTCATCGTGGCGGCCTGGTTCAGCAGGTTATGGGCATCCTGCCAAAGTGGCCAGAGTCATCAGCTCTCTAAGTTAGTCACTTTACTTTGTTATTCATTCACGTACAATAAAGCACCCAACCCTAGTCAAGGATAGATTGGGAGCTACCGGAGGGAGAAGAAGGAAAAGAATGGGGAAAGTGACCATTTTAAAGCAAACGAGGGAACAGCTGTCCTCCTAAGAACTGAACGGGAAGAACTAGAAAAGAAAGCCTTTGGGTGGTGGGGGTGGGGGGAGCTTCCTTTCCCTGGTCCAGGAAGACCCCTTCTTTCCTTTCCCAGTGTGATTCACAAATTTCCATTCCAGACCCATTGGTCTCCATTGCATGTGACCTAGCCAGATGCTAAAGCACTTTGAAATTTACTCTGCTGTGAAATGGGGAAACATCCTAAGACCTTTCAACCCACACTAACTAAAGCATCTTTAGCACCCAATAGTGAAGGAGAACACAGGTAATCTTTGGCATCTCTCTAGTCACCTACCCTAACCCCATCTGGCTCAGCCTTTTTAGCCTTTATAATGTCAATTCAAACACACAACCCAAATCTGAGCTTAGCCGCTCAACTACCCAAGGCCTCAAAACTAAGCCCCATATCCCCCTCCTAATAAAGCTTTTGACCATTTTACATTACAGTGTTCGTTACATCTGTCTCTCCCTCCCCACCACCACCCATCCTGGTCCCCCCCTCTCCCATACACAGGCACACACACCATGAGAGGATTTTTAGCCCCGTTCTCCAAAAGGCTTCCCAGCGGTCCACTTACGTGGCAGTGTTAAGGGGAGAGCCCCAGCCAAGATGAACCAGGTAGAGAGGACGAGGGCCTTCCTGATCATGGTGTGGGCGGTGGGAGTGCAGGACGCTGGAGAAGGTGAGCAGGCAGGGTGCAGGTCCTCCGTGTACTGAACCGAGAGCTCTGCTCAGCTTTTATAGAACACTCAGCCTCAGGTTCCTGAAGGCAGCATTCCCAGGTCATTACGGAAAAAAACCCTGGCAACCTCACCTGCCCGCACACAATGAGAATGCCCCTGCAGCAAGGACCTGGGGGAGGGAGAAGAAAGGAGGAGTTTGGAGGAAAACTCTGATAAGGTCTTGGGTTGCTGTTGCCATTAGCACCTATTATCTGCGTTTCAAAGCACAGGGGAGAAATCCCAGTTCCACTAGCTAAACAGAGAGCTCCTTTCCTAGCCCGAGGTTGCAAGTTTGTCATCTAGGATGGAGCCAAATATTGCTTTACATACTGAGTCTCTGAAATGCTGCTTGTGTCAGAATACCGGAGTAAGAATGGTGGCCAGACTCTGCTGGCTACTTAGACTGTAAGAGAGAGTCCTATGGCAAGCAGTCTTCTACCCCAAGCTGGTCTCTCTCAAAGAGAATTGTTGAAGAGAATAATTACTCCCAATATTAGTATTATAGTAAAGCAGATATATCTAAATCGATAAGATTTCACATGTGCTATCATTGTGTTTGATTTTCACCATGATCCTGTAAAGGGAGTCATTATTACCCCATTTTTCTGATGAGGAACCTAGCCCAAGAGATTCAATGGTTCCAGACTCACCTGAAGATTTTCATGTTGGGCATTAACAGGAAGTACTTCTTGACTGTGTAGACTTGGCTCCTGCTAGTGACCTCCCCAGTCCTCTAGGGGGCCGGGATCAAGTTGCGGTGTGTCCTTGGTTGACGCACAGACTCTCATCCTCACAGAAGAGGTAAAACAGGCTGAGAATATGCAAGAGGGACTCACATAAATGAGCCTCAGAGTTTAAGAGTCACGACCATTACCTGGAAAGCACATATCTAACATACACACACTCCCTTCACAGAGTTAAACTCCCATGAGTCCTTTAGGCCTGTTTTCTGCTGATTCTTGTACCTCCAAACCCACAGGGTTGGCAATGTCATTGCGAGAATCTTCTCAGCAATAATAACAGCCAACATTCATAATGTGCTTAACTGCGTGCCACAGGTATACATTATTTTATCCAATACCAACCCTAATAGGTAATCTTATTAGTCTCCGTTTTTAGAATAAGGCAACCGTGGCACAGGATAGTTAGGGAATGTGCAGAAGGTTCCCTGAGTGTGGTAGAATCAAGAAGCATAGCAGTGGGCAGTGTGATGCTCGGGCTTCTGCTACCAGCCACAGAACTGTTTCTCCCCGGAACCCACTTATCTCCCAGAACCCCTCACTGCCGGCTTTGTTCTGCGAAGTGTGGCCCTGTGCAGATTTCACTCTAAAGGCAGGGCTGGGGCAACTGCGGAGAGGCCATGGTGGGGAAAAGAAGGACAGGAAGGCAGGAGAGGAGAAGCCTAAAAAAGCAGAAACACCTGTAAAAAGTAAGACAGGCCCTGGCTGGTGTGGCTCAGTAGATTGAGCGCCAGCCTGCAAAGCAAAGGGTTGCCGGTTTGATTCCCCGTCCAGGGCACATGCCTGGGCTGTGGGCCAGGTCCCCAGTAAGGGGTGTGCAAGAGGCAACCACACATTGATTTCTCTCCCTCTCTTTCTCTCACCTTTCCCCTGTGTCTAAAAATAAATAAATAAAATGGGGGGGGGGGAGACAGTGTCTTCAAGTAATGGCAGGGAAAGTTCTCGTTGCCACGCTGAGAACTGATGGGCTGAAGAAGCTTCAGACCCCCCAGCAAAGCCTACAAAGATCTTCGTGTCTGGGTTTCCCATAGATGGTCAGATGACAAAGAAAACCTCAGCCATAGCCATCAAATTTGAGTCAAGTAAACCTGAGGAAACTCTTCCAACTCTTGCTCCAAAACCCCTTTGAGTAGCAGCAGCTTTTAATAAAGTCAGAGAGAGCGAACCAGAGGAAATGACTTCAGAAGCAAAGATGAGGGTGAAGAATATTGGAAGGGATACACCAACATCAGCAGGACCACACTCCTTTAACAAAGGGAAGCACGGGTTTCTGATAACCAGAAGCTATGGGAGCGAAACGCAAAATCTCATCTTGGAAATGCCCAGGACCAAGACAATTAAGAGACATGTTTTGAAATCGGGGTGTGGGGAGGGTGTACAGGGAGATGGAGCACTTTCCTTTTTAAAGACTGGGATAGGACTATCTTGACCACACATACTTTGTCAGAGCTATGTGTTGTGGGAGAGGTTGTATTTTTGTATTGTAATGTGACAGTTAAACACATTTTTAAGGCACAATCATAACTAAAAAAAAAGTGCAGTTTAATGATTCCCTTGAAAACTCCAACGTTAAATTTGCAGGCAGCTGCAGACCATCTTAATGGCGGTAACTACTCACTCAGCTCTTTTAATAAGTAATACCTCCAGAGAAGCAGCCTGTATGTATGTATTCCTAACACTGTGTTCATTAGTATTTAAGTTTAGAGTAAACCCCAGGTAAAACAATGGAAATGTTCAGAGAACTATTAGTTTTTCCTTGCAGGATTTAATCACATCAAGATATGTGAATTTAACTTGTGTAAATGTAAGTGACCTTTTTGGCTTTGTCCATTTTATTGTTTATGTTAAAATAGCATCGATCTCCTGCATATTCTTTTCTTGACTCAAATACTAACGTATGGTCAGGAAGAGAGAAAGAAACAGGTGAGATGAATGTCTTTACTAAAACACCAATAAATTTGTCACACTAAAAAAAAAAGCCAAGGGAAAACACACATATGAGAAAATATTTTGTTTTACTGAAAACAGAATTGCCTTGGCAAGCCTTGTGCAGTAGAAATGTAACCCAAACACAATAGTCAGGAGTTTGGAAAGCAAGAAGCTCATGAAAAACTGGCAGGCAGAAAACACGAGCAAACAACGGAACTCAAATGAGACAGTAATAGAGCAAGTCATGGGCCAGTGGAAGAAGGGGGAATTTTATCCTCATGGGTGACAATAGGAGAATGTTTCCTACACAAGAAAAGTGCAAGAATGAACTTTTGAATGTGCAAGGTAGAATCTCTGAACTCGGAGGAGGGCTAGTCTTAGGAGTTAAGATATTGAAGGGGCAGAAATGACAACTTCCTCTAGAGAAGTTTTGTTTTGCAGCTCAACCACCTAAAAATATAGTAGACATCACTTTAGACAGTACCAAATATCCTGGTACCATTTTAGGTGCCTCAGTTTCCCCCAGGGTCAGAGAAAGAGCTGCTGCCTTAGGACCTCTGTATTGAAATATGGGAGCAATTTGGTCTCCCTTCATGAAGATGTGTTACTCTTTCTCACCACCTAAGAATCAATATTTATTAGGTAATTGACATAGTGGGTCTCAGAGAGGAACCAGCCCAATCTTCTAGGGTTAGAAAAATGTAGTTTATACCAAGATACTAAAATACTAAGTGATCCACTCCTGCATATTTATCCAAAGTAACCCAAAACACTAATTTGAAAAAAATATGCATCGTATGCATTATTTATGATGACCAAGGTATGGAAGCAACCTAAGTGTCCATCAGAAGACAAATGGATAAAGAAGTGGTGCCTATATACACGTACAATAGACTATGACTCAGCCATTAAAAAAAAGCATAAAATCTTGCCATATGCAACAACATGGATGTGCCTAGAGGTATTGTGCTGAGTGAAATAAGTCAGACCTAGGAAGACAAATGCCAGATGAGTTCATTTAAATGTGGAGTCGAAAACAAAACAAAATAAATGAGCATACACAACAGAAACAAAAACTCAGAGATAGAGAACATTTTTACTGTTGCCAGATGGGGTTGGGAGATGGGTGGAAAAAGTGAAGGATTAAGGAATACAAATTGGTAGTCACAGAACAGTCACTGACATGTGAAGTGTAGCATGGGGAATATAGCCAAGAATACTGTCAACTATGGATGGTGTCAGATGGGTACTGGATTTATCAGAGTGATCACATCATAAGTTACATAAATGTCTTATCACCATGTTATGGAAAAGTTCATAGTACATGATTTCATCTTTATAAAATCATAGACAAAGCAGATTGATCTCTAGTGACAGAAAGAGTGTCGGTATATTCAGGGATGGGAGGGTGGCATGGGAGTGGGAGGGGGGAGGAGGGAGAAGTGGGGATGGTTACAAAGGAACACCAGGAGTCTTTCGGAGGTGATGGATATGTTCCTTACCTTAACTGCGGAGATGGTCACATACATGTATGCATACATCAAGGCTTATCAAAGTGTATGATTTAAATGTATGTGGTTTATTGTGTGTCGATTAAACCTCAGTAAAGATATTTAAAATAAAAATGTAAGTGAAGTATAAAATAAAAACTTTTGAAAATAATAATTTAGAAAGAATTTTAAAGAGCAAATTGTTCCAGTGACATACACAGAGGAGCCAAACCAGGAGCCAGTTTCTGAGTGGCAGGGAGAAGAGCAGGAAGTGGGCGAGGAGGGATTTACAGAGGCCTGGGCAGGATGAGCTTGCCTAGTGCGAAATCAGGTGCTTTCAGAGAATCTTGATAGAAATATACCACAGGCAACAGAAAACATGAGGCTGAAGTCCATGAGATTTGGGTTTATGATCATAATTTTTGCTCTAGGCATAATGTGAGGGTAGAAAAATGAAAATTTCTATCTTTTCACATTCAAATAAAAAGTCATACAGTCCAGAAGCTAAGTTTGTAGGTACAATGTTCCATATTTTATTGAACAAGCACTTCGTCCCTAAGGCAGGTCAGTTCAGTTAAATAATTGTTTCTCATTTCAGGAGGCGGCAATGCAGGCAGGCCCCCCAAAGTAGGTCTACACCGAGGGAGCCAGAAATCAGGTATTGAAGAAGAGACTTTTCTAGCAAAACAAACAAAGGTTAATCTTTAGATCGAATTAAAAATATGATTTCTGAGCCTGGAGGGCTGCCAGATTTCTACACGTCAGGCTTGGCATGTACACTGCAGCTGAAATGTCTCTAATGACGTCATCCGGGGCTGGGAAAACCTTTGAAGTGGCGTACACG